AGTGTCTGTATGAAGCCTTTACACATTCTTGCCGTTTAGGTTCGCGAGGGTCGCACACCATGTTTTCTTGGTGAAATGGTATACTCTCATTGATGTAGAGCTGTGGCTGGTGACTAGATTGATAGAGGGGTGTACGGTCCTCCAAATTGCAGTATATTATGACCTGAGCATTTTTAGAACTTGTAACAAAACTATATTGAATGGACCGGACGGTTCTATGTCGTGTTTTATAAATTAGTCCGAATGTAGCTTTCAATTGTCAGTATTTTCACTGTCGATGACATAAAAAGCCCCATTTTTTTTTTTGCCAGCCGTAAGCTCAATTCGGTTACACGCGTCCTTGTATTTTAGGCAATACCTCGCAGATAAGCCAGGCTGTTCGGGAAGGGGGCGAGGGGTGAGGTACCATACACTCCAGCAAGAGTTGACAGTGGGTGACTGAACTGGGTAAAAATATCGATATAACCTGACTGTATCTTGTAGCTTAAAACGAAATCGACCTCATACTGTAGTGCGTCATCGACCTCATCGACTAGTTATCGTCCGGCTTGTTAGAGTTACACGCGAGCGGTGGCAAGGCGAATATATGTTCTACCCTTTTGTCATGTAGTTGCTTATGTTCAACAGAAAACATTATGTTGTTTATATGTTTCAATTAGGGTTTACATTGACATTGCTAAACTGATCGGCTTGTCATTGCGTGACGTGTGCGATATTCCGACGAAACTCACGAATCGAGTTCGAGAATGTGCTGGAAATGGCGATGTGTCTTTTCGATATCACAGTATCTAAGAACAATACCAATTGTGTAGGCCCATGTAGAGGACGTCCTCGAGTGATAAAAAAAATCAAGCAAGCGATCATTACTTCGACGAGAGGCATGATGCGACTTATCTGATGTCATTTATTAAAGATCATACTGCAAAACTATGGCACCGTCGATATTGTACGAAAGTGCGGCCGCTGAGTATGGCAAGACTATAGTATTGTTGAGATCACTTTTATGATAAGCGGTAACTATAAAGGGATAGTCGGATAGCACATATCTAAACATTTATGAGGAAACTATATTTGCCCATCTGCTAAAGGTAATAGATCATCATTTCCGCATATACATATGCATGTATTTTTTTGTGGTGGGTTTTGTGCCATTGAACTATTTGGCATTTGGCAGTGCTATAGTACGTACTGTAAATTAATGCATTATGCATATAGTTGCGTCCATTTGAAATTTTTATCTGGTTCTAGTAGGGATATCCGACAGGTTTATCACTTTTGACACTAACAATTCTTTTGTATCGTATTGTTATGGTAGTTTTGTGCCAGTGAACTATTTGGCACTTGACAGTGCTTTAGTAGGCACTGTAAATTGATGCATTATGCATATAGTTGCAGCCATTTGAGATTTTAACTTATTCTAGCAGGGATAATCGACAGGTTGTTGCTTTTGACACTCTACAATACAGTTGTATCGTACTAGTTTTAACTGAATATCCGCTTTGCCCTAGCAACCTTTGTGCTAAACCCTAATTTAGCGAATGGAGTTATTTGATCTGAAGGGGCCTTTTGTTCCAGCAAATTTGGATATGTTCTGATTCAAAAGTCAAAGCTTACTCATGGGAGTACACGATTCATATATGGTCTAAACTTCTCGATTTAAGTCGAACGGGATATAGTATCTTAAATACGATCAAGGATGAGCTCGACGTCAAGCCAATGAGGCCGCCGCGCTTCTTTCTCCGGTGGAGATCGATGTGTCGAAAGATGATACTTTTGTGCCGCAGCCTGATTACATTGAGATATCGACACAGCAGTTTGGACCCTTAAAGCGAGCCAGCACGCCATTGAGTACATCCTTTAATAATATCCAGCTACCGGCACCGTGTCTCAGGTACGTATGACTTTGTCTACAAAGTTTATGAACAGAAATAGATTCTTACAAAAAGCCATAATCTAGCTAGCCTACGGGCATTTTTACTTATCTTTTGAAGGATTGCGATAGAGAGATTGTAAAAACAATTGTTTGTCAATTTTAGTTTGAATGACTTGAAAGACTGGAATGATCGTTACTATATGTGTTTACTTTTTTTGCTGTTGTCGTGATCGTTGCATTACCGTTTAAAATCTCACATCGTCACTTAAATCAGCCACTTACTACTCCTCACCTGCGGTGGTTGACTTTTTGATGGGAGGAGTGTATCCTACGGGCAAATCCATGAAATGCGATAGAGAAGATTGCACAAACTATTTTTAGTTAGTATAACTTGATTCATTAATGTATGTTTCTATTTTGTTGCAAGCATCGTGATCGTTGCATGGCGGTTTAAAATCCCAAATCGTCACTTAAATCAGCTACTTACCACTTGATGGCCATGTGACAGTAGAATGTGACGTGAACCAAGCCTATATCTAAATATCAGAACGGTTCCCAAGTGAACACCTCAGACTACATTAACATAGATAAAACTACCGGTCTGGACAGTTTGAATGCTTTCCACTTATACGTGATAGACCAGCTAGCTCCTTGACGGTCGTAATGTGAGCAAATATAGGCTGTATGAATCTTGAAGATAGACAAGTGACGACCTTAACAATGGGCTATCCAAAACTGTTGATGGCCAATACTTGTCTATTTGTTAGTAGGGCTTAGATTGATACAACAGACTCGCTTTACCGGGTATATCAAGATTTGGCTATTGCCCTGATCTCGGCCCTTTCTTTCGAGAATGAAGCACTCATTCGTTAAAATGACATTAAAAAAAAGTGCTTTCGGCGTCTATATATTATGTGCTTATTTATTTTTATGACTGCATGTTTAGAGTGCATTAAAATTCGCCGTGGGATTAATGTTGATCATATGGACTAGAGTGTCATAGAGCATATTTCCATTGGAGAGCTGTAAATAAGTGAGATTTCTTGAAACTGGCCAAATTTTCGATAAAAATTATAAAGCAACGAATGGTACTTGGAAGATTATATTATGTTTATTCATTTTTATGATTGCATGTTTAGAGTGCATTTAAATTCGCCGTGGGAATAATGTTGCCCATGTGAACTAGAGTGTCATATAGTATAATTCCGTTAGAGGGTCACAAATATATGTAATTTCTTGCAGAATGTCCGTTACTCCGGGATACTGGCAATATCCTCGGCCATAGTTATCAGCATCAAATGTTTTTTTTTTGGACGGCACATGCCACCCTAAAACTTGCGACAGCCTTTTTTCACCGCCATGACAGAGCGAATAGATTTGTATTGTTTTTTTTTAAGAGTCATGACACGAATGATCCCAGCACCACGTGAGTCGGGCAGTTGTGCTTTTACGAGTCTTGAGATGTGGTATACCAATGTACTGCTATTTAACAGGCACAATGGCAGAACTGCAAAGTAAATGTCAATCAAAATAGGGTATCTGAGCAAAGATAAAGTCCCTATGTGAGGTATCACATTGTCGGTTTTGTCTCGATACAAACAGTGAATAAATAATTTCAATCCATAGGCACATGCCACCAATCTGGTAGCAGCAGGAATATCAGTGATGTCTTATGCACGCAAGCGTAGGAACAATGAAATATCCACCTCTGACCTTAGCTTAAACTACAACAGGTATATATCATACAAAAAGAAGCAGTCTCAAAGTAAAAAATACTGTTATGTCATTACAAGTTTGCTATCATTTTGTACCCCTTGTCAACTATCGCTAGGCAGATAATTGCCACGACCTAAACATATCTGAGTAGCACCGATGACATTAACTGGCATTCAAAACCCTAAACTTACCCTGTATTCAATTTGTCGATTATAATTTTAACAATCAATATGCACACTAAACTTGCAGGGCTGAAAGTAGAAAAAATATCGGACTTCCGGACATGCATATCGTTGTAACAAAATCTATTATCTGATGGAGACGCGCCGAGAAATTCATTTCATTGCCATTCAAATATGGGCAAACACTTTCCTAAAGTTCACGTGAGATTTGTGAAACCCATTCTCAATTGTTCTTATCATCGGATGTGTCAGTTTTGAGTAAATAAAAGTTATTTGATTTCCCTACATCGCGTACCATATTTCAAAGTGTATAAATCAATTGGAAATACTGTCATCGTCATGAATATTTTCGACGCATATAACCGGTGATCTGGCAGGTTTCTGGCCATTCGCGCGGGATATAAGGGAATGTCCAAAGCTGATGTACTCTGTGTTCGTTAGAATATATTTCAAACTTATATCATCATACACTATGCGAGACCTAGCAAGTTTAATGCGATAGGTATTATGGACTTGAGCTTTGAATACAAAAATGTTGTTGCAAGCCAATTATTACCTGCTAGTTGAGTTACCTTATTTTAGCTTCCATTCCGGGAACAAGATCAGTTGTAGTTTAAGTATCAATCGTCTAATTTTATCAAACGATAATATGTGATCCATATTCGTATAGCACTTTTATTCTATACGAATGTATCCTTCGTGTTTGTATTTTGCCTGTGAGTCCGTCACACTCTAGCCCGATAAAATAAATAAATATCGCAAGTTGTACGCAAGTTGTACATTTAAAATTCTAAACATTCTAGCATTTATACTTTTCCTAAAGCGCAACGAAATTAATTTCCAAATTTCCAGTCTGTAAGTGTCTTCATTCGTAGTCAACCAATTACATCACATTTGCACACTTTGGCTCATGCGTCCTGCGCATACACGTGAATGAATGCGAGCTTAAAAACAGTAATACTGTGCCAAATACTCTTGTGGGCCAATCAACAATATCATAACAATTTTGGGTTGTATTTCCGTATGCATTTGTATTCACAAGACAATAAAAGATAGCTGCCACGTGGGTGTTGGATGCAGGGGATACTAATCCGAAGTGGCATGGCAAGTGATTTACTTCTTTAAGTAGAAGAGTGTCGTGCCAACCAATTCTCAATTTCGCACTGAATATTTAAATGTGCTTTACCGCAGTCACACCCAAAGCTTTCAAGTGGCCTTCAAAGAATGTGGTATATGCTGGCCGTGCTCACCATGAAGGTGTTTGCTCCGAAGTTTATTTTTTTATTCGCCGCAAGTTCAGTGTTGGGGACTCGTTACATCGTGGCAAACAACACTATCCATACCCGTGTCACCAACAGGGCTCATCGGGAACAAGCCAGATAACCAACAATTTAAACTTTGTCTTGGCGAGTTTGCATTTGCGATACTTGGGCCTGGTTTGCATTTTTCTGGCGTGTATGATACGTGCGTGGTAAAGGCGATGGCTGCGATGATGGAGGTGATTCTGTTGGCTGTAGTGTCGATGTCGATTGCGACTTGGGCAAAAGCTGCGATGGTTGTGTCGACAGTTGATGCTGCGCATATTGTTGCAAAGGGGTTTGCTGCGACATCTTTATAGGTCCAACGTACCCCTTATGAGCTACCAGTGTTGACGAGCTCTCTGAGTGTGGCTCGCAGCCTGATTGCTGTGCACATACTCCCAATGCAGATGAGGTGCTCGCCATCTGTTGTTGTGAAATTGGTGTCCCGTCACCTTGCTGTGGGTGTATAGTCAGAGTGGGTGATGCGCCCTCGAGTTGCAATTGTGACTGCTCGGGTAGCTGTTGTACTTGTGACTCCTGCGCCTTGTCCGGAGGCTGATTCGGGTGCCCTTGCTGTGGAGGCTTTGCCAATAGCGGAGCGCTATCCAAATTCACTGACGACGACCTTGATACAGGCGGCGGATTCGTAGATTTTGCTTCAACGACGGGTGCTTGCTCCGTATTTGATTGACTGGTGCGCAAGTGCGAGTCGCTTGCAATGGGCTGTATATGTGTTGTGCTAGGCATCGACTGACAGCTTATATGTGGTGAATCGCTGGCAGATGCTTGTGGTAGTTCAGAGGACAGCTGGGGCTGATTACTGGACGATGACAATTGTGTGGTCGGCAGTTTGCTTTGATCGGTGGGCGCCAGAGACGATGTGGCGGCTAGTTGTAGCTGGCTAGACGACTGCGAATGACCGGGCATTGGCTGTGATTGGCCGGTGGATAGCTGTGCTCCACCGACTGAAGGCTGTGAAGTATCGGCAGACCATTGCGCCTGAGTAGCAGACGGCTGTGACTGACCTGCTAATGGCCTGGATTGGCCAGCAGGCAGTTGAGATTGACTAGCAGACTGGGTTAGGATTTGACGTTGATGTTGAGCGCTGTACTGGGTGCTATTCAATCGACTGCTTTGTTGGGTCTGGTCGTTATTTACCTGACTAATTTGCTGTGTGCCAGAGTGTGAAATCTGAGGAGAGCTGAGTTTCGTATGCATTAGTCCGTTGGAATGTGCAGTAGACATTTGTGCAGCCCATGTATTTGCTCCTGGTGTGTTTCGATTACCTGGAGATGCATCTGCGACGCTAGCCCTCACACCCGCCCCATCACCACCTAGAGCGGGTGATGTGGTCAAGGTAGCCGATTTCATGTCACGGGCGACCATAGGCTGCACGGCACCTACAGTGCCAGATGTACTAGTCGCTGTGCCATAATTATAGCCAACAGTGGCTGCGGCGGTCTCGCACCCGATTGCACGCGTGTCTGTCTGTGGTAAATTGGCGTTGGCATTGGTATTATTTGTACCAAGTGTTTGGATATCGGGCGATGTAGACGTAGTTGTAGTGGAATTGTTGGATGATGTGTACGTTGCATGCATTGAGTGTGCAACAAACTTTGTTTTCGGTACATTTGTAGGCTGTACATTGGAAGTAGTGGATGAAGCGATTGATGTGTTATAGGTTGCGTGGGGCTGCTGTGGTGGACCTGACTGTGTATATAAGGTTGCTGCTGACATTGAAGCCGTATTTGTTGGAGGTAAATTCGCTGAATGTGAGCTGATGGCGTGTGCATTTTTGCCTGATGGTATACGTGTATGTTGCGCTGACTGCACTTGTGGCCGTGACAGCTGCTGCACCGACGATGTAACTTCATGATTGGTTGATTGTTGTGACAGCTGTGCGCCCGTCACGGGTACCTGGGACACGCCGATGCCAGTATTTGAAAGTGCGCCAATATTTTTATCACTGTACCTAGCACTACCAGCAATTCCATAACCGTTATTGGGAGTCATGACAGCGGTGCTAACAGTATCAGTACTTTGAGTGTTAGTCTGCTTCGCTTGCTGTGACGCGGGTTGGTTGACGCGTTGATTTGCGTGCTGCTGATACACAGATGCGCCCGACTGTTTGGACAGGTAGGACGTAGCTGTCGGGGACGCTGTGGATGATGCGCTCGATCGGCGACTGACGGATACTGATGCACGCCTAGCATCCGTGGTTGTACTCGAAGCTGTGCCTGGAGTATTGGGTACAACACTAGATCCTACACTGCCATTGACTCCGGCTCCATTGCCACTCGTCGACTGAAAGCCATTCGAGTATGAAGTTGTCACCCTATTCAGCATGCTGCCACTACTGGCACTGTTTAACGCAGCACCTGGCGTAGTCGTTACAGGAGTACTGTAATGTGTTTGATAGTTGGCCTGGAACGATGTTCGCTTCCCCACTAACTGTTGACTAACATTCGTAGCTTGTGTACTGCTCACCACCGTAGGCCTAGTACCGTTTAAAGATTGCCTAGTATTATTTACGGATTGCTTGCTTGTTTTTGTTGACATACTGTTGGCATTCATTGGCAACACCTGTCCCCCGGTCTGCTTAGGCGTGTTGATGGTCGCGGCGTGATTGACGGAAGCATTGTTGGTGGTGTTGGCAGCGTACTGTTTCCCACCACTGGCTGCATATTTGCTTGTAAATTGCTTTGAAGAGCTGGTCGCCGATTTGTTTTCATATGTGGGGTTGGCGTATTTTGTCGCCGGATAGTTGGTCTGCAATCCATTCGAATTTGGTATATAAGAATTATTCCTTGTGGAAGCGTATGTATTGGACGTGGGCGTCGGTGCATATCCTGTATTGTACGATGATGCGGCACCTTCAGTTTGGGGCTGTACAGTAGATGGGGCATACGTCTGCTGCGGAATGGCGGTGGTAGTGGTAGGCTGATACACTGCTGATGCAAGGAGTGGGCGTGTACCCCCAGCTGTACCCATTGATGCACCTGTGAACTTATTTATGGCCGGAACAGCCCCACCTACGCCTGATGTGGTCTGATGTGATGTCGTAGCATTCACGGTTGTGGTGGCAACTGAGGGCGTGCTCATGGCAACAGAGCCGGTAGACGACGTGCGGCGTTCAATCTTGAACTGCTGCTGCATTTGGCGTTGGTTGGGTTTGGTATGCGGTTTGGTAGCGGCACGCGCAGTATTAGAGTGTTGTGGATATGCTGCTGGTGAAGATGTGGTGGTAGTCGTTACAGTGTTGTATGTCGGATTTTGCTGCACTGCACTGACTCGTTGCTGATTCTGATGTTGAGTTAAAGGTGCAGTGTTCAGTTGCATGTTACTCTGCACGTAATTTTTGTGTGCCTGTGATTTACTGCCCGACATAGCCATACCGCCGAGTTTCTGACTGTTTTGATACGCATTGTGTGACTGGGTTGGTTTCGGTATATTGTTGGTTGTATACGCGGGTAGATTCGTGGACGGCAAGGCTGCAGATCCTTGCAATGGTTTGCTGCCGACATCAGACGTTTCAGAAGAGCTAAATTGTGTGTCTGCTGGTACGGGGGTTTTACTGATGATTGTACGTGGAGGGTAAAAGGTCTCGTCCTTGGTGCAGACATTGCCTTCTAGTTTGTATAGCTTCTTGAAGTCCATCACGTAATGATCAGCGCAAGAGTAATCACCCAGCACAAACTGTTTCATTGTTGGCTCCGCACTGCGCGGTAATTTTACGATGCGCAAAATGCCTTCATATACACTGTTCCGATTAAGTACGATGTCCAGTCCAGTTGAACCTGTGCATTGCATGCAAAGAATGACACACAAGTCAATGAATGCAGCGACATAATAAATCTATAGTCGAAGTCCTATTAAATATATATGCACTGGCAAACACACTCGGACGGTACACACATGAGGCTAAATTGTGAAATTTCAGTTAATAATACTTATAGACGAGAGGAAGCGAGGGAGAAGGCGGGAGGGGGGAGGCAAACAAAGTCTTGCCACACTCAAAGTGTATCGAGAGTTGTTGGCATACGATCGCATAGGTAGCCACATATATCCACTACTAACCGTGCAACCTTGTATGATACACCATGCGAACTCGCATTGTCAACTATACTTATCGCAATATACGCTCGAGCATACAAACTTACCAGCTTTGCCCTGAAAAACAACTGTTCTGCAATGGATAGCTCCAGTACTGAGTCGCGTTGGTATTTCGGGCCGTGTCGTCGGTAATTTCACTGCCACTCTGCTTGTAACTGGTGTCTTTGCAGCGCTCGCTGCCCCCACAGCGTTCAACGCATACGGGTCTCGCACTCGAGAACGATTGCATACCGTCACATCCAAGCTCGAATCTGTATATAGTGACGTATGTATTGCGAAAGTAGGATAAATAGCGAGTTGACTGATTTCAATTTCTGATCTCGAATAAATTCTAATACACCGTCGGCGTGTCTCGTGTCCGGTGCAAATCAGCAGTTTCGGAAGAGAAGTCGTGCCTCACGGGCACCATATTGATCTCTCTCTGCCCTCATCGCTTTCCTCGCTCAGTAATGTAGTTAAAGTCATATTATTCAGAGCAAACGAAGCGAGGCTGTAGCAGACATACACAGGGGTCTCAGTACTATCTAACACAATAATGATGCAACAATGGAATAACTTACGAAGTGGAGACATGTTCGCATCTGTACTCCCTCTGAGGCGTCCCAAGAAATTGAGAACTGCAAATTGGGACTGGGAACGGCCGCTGATACGCTCAGTCCATGAATTTTGCACTTGGTTTGCGCTCACTGCCTTGTCTTCAGTCGAGACTACAATGCGTGTGGTCACTATGCGTGTGGTCACTGCCTCTGATTTGTAACGCTTACTCATAGCAGACTGTAAAAGCAGGAGCACGCGTACAATGGTTGATATATTAAGTTTATCTTGAATTCTTTTTTTATAGTGAAAGTCAATAAATAGGAATTTTCATACCATGCAACAGCTACTGAGATTAGAAAAACGTTGAGTTTTCAGACATAAAGACACCACTAAACGTCAATTCCATGCTTTGCAAGTGTGAGGAGTGACACTATCGAACATCGAACCTATTCCCAAGCAAAACGTGCACATATGACATATATCTAAGGTGCTTCATTCCCAAATTCAGCAGGTAGAAACAAGCAGGGATAGGCATTAATCAAGATGACAAGAGTCAACCTTTAGGTTTACCGAGTCATTATGAACAGACTTTAGTCGATAATACGCACATGCTATCTACAAACTAAAGATACAATGTTGATCTATGATGCACAAACTGCTCACATATTGTATATATATACTACGATAAATGGATATGCAGATACGCACAGTCGACACGAGTATAAACACCTGCACAGGTATACTCGCTGATCTCTTGAAAGGCTTTTCAACCAATCCCACTTCTGAACCAGAGACATCTTCGCCATCACTTAAACTCATTTCGGTAATCTCCATTCCTTGATCGAACAAATTTGCAGCGAAGTCCCAATGTACTTCGGCGGATTGCCTTGCAGATGCTTTCTGCTTTGCGCTCTTGCACCTAAATCATCAAAATACATCAAAAAACATAATTTTTAAATCGGGACTTCCCAACTTTCGTAGCACAGCAACCACTCACTGCTCATACCTTTGAAGATATGCTCAGCATAGTGTTCTGCGGACACTGCGTTTTCAGCGGTGTTAATTTTCTTTGCTCACCTGTTGTAGCTTCCGCGCCAGCGTTGTGGCCCAGGCACCCCTCAGAAAAATGAAATGACTGATAGACTACACGCCAACAACACATTTTCAACACTCGTAAAACAAAATAATATACATCCACAGCTAATAAATATTTGAGAGTGGACGCACGATCAAGCAGTATGATACATATACATACTTTCTGTTGTGCAGCACAGCATGTAGCTTGTGTCTGTTGTAATGTGAACTGATATTTACATAGTGCACAAAGGGACTCGGATCCAAACACAAGGCTTGCGTGCTGGTGGCCGCGATGACTTTTGCTTCTATCTGCAATAACTCTCTTTCTCCCCACTCCTTCTGCGCAGCCTTTAGCGCGATTTCGTGCGCATAGCTGACCACATGCTGAAAAAGAAAATTGTGGTTGTTGATAAGCGCAGCACTTATGCGGGCCTAGTTCTACCTAAGAAGTAAAGCAAAGGAATAAACCGTGACGGACAATGCGTGCGGACACGTATGGAAGGTATTCTTGCATATAATTACAGGGCAGCAAACATATACGAGTGGTTCTCCGAACTTTAAAAGGATTGCATCTGTTTTTTTTCTCCACAAAATGAACTTACAAATATTCATAATCAAATGCATTTTACACTGTTGTGTTGGAAAATCTGGAAGCTTAGTGTACATCGTTATCCTTTTAGGCCTTCGTTATCACTTGAGGTAAAGCATTATTATCCCCAATCAAAGGTAAACCCACACTTTCGGTAGCTAAAATACTGAGCGCTGAGGCATGCGAAATTATACATTACCTAACATACCGGGCCTTGAATAAGCCAATAACACGAGGAGAAATGCTTAACAACGGTATAATGGAAGGTGCTCGCTTGTGCTTCTACATCACACTGATCAATCAATGTTTTTCACTTTCCCGCAAATCTACTTCGACAAAATAAATACCAACATCGCTATGAAACCCATACCAATGGTGTTGGCCTCAAGAATACACGCGAGACGGTGGGGGCAGGTAGATCCAATGCGCTCGGTTCGCGATGATCTCGAACTTCTACGAAAATACCGCCATTAACTCGCTGCAGTACGAGAGTGCATGTCAAATTTTTAATACGCCATATTGTACAATTACCAGTCGCCGTCAGCGCAAGAAGCAAAAGTTGCTAGAATGTACCCTTCGTGTCTTGATCAAAACTCTCTCCGTACAAAAGTGAGACGTGTGACTCAAGCTTGAGTCACACACTATAGCCTAGTACAACATTGAAAATACCAAGATGATATCAAACTAACGATAGCGAAGATGTTCAACAATTTCGACATAGAAGCGTAAGGTTCAAACAGGCACATATCAAAACCGATAGAAGGCTGACACAGAAATGTAGAACGACAACTTTATGCGACAGAGGTGGCGCTAGTGAAGTTAAGAAGAAGTGATTCACTTCATGTCTCACGCTAATTAGGGAAACTTCTCCAAAATAGACCTGACCAAAAAGGCAAGTAGCGGCGTCGAGCGCTGTAGTATCGAGATATGGTATGTCATGCCTAAGACTGTACCGAAATGTGAATACAACTCAAATCCGTCACAATGTCACAGCAAAAGATCAAATACGACAGTTTTTATGAAAAAAATGGCGTCTTTTGAAAACTGGGGGTACATTACACCAAGCATAATGAAAGTAAAAATAGAAATGTACCTTGACGCCGGGCAAGACGTCGATAAGTGATACGAGCTCCAAAGGGAGAGTACGATTGTCAATCGCATCCAATAGTTCGTGGCTGCCGCGGTCGTATGGGAACACGACCCCGTCGGCTTTTTCGCCCAGACTATATCCCGAATAATACAGGTTGATGACACACGAGGTCTGCACCTATGTGTTGAAAATCAACAATGATTGTTCCTAATTGAGAATTGATGTTGAAAACTATATACATATCAATATGTACCTTCAATTATATTCTATTTTCATACCGCTCTTGTGTAGGGAGTTTGATGAAAGGTAGCGGTCAAGAATGATTCAGATCATTAGAAACGCAAGCGATCAGATCTAAAATTTTCAATAGTCATGCTTTACAAAACTCATAGAAAAAACTGGATGATAGCGGTGTGTAAAGTTGAGAAATGTAATCCCGCTAGGTACTAGTATGGCGGACAACGATATGTGCGATATATCTATCATTTACCATGTATGAATCCGTGAACAACCTTACCTCCTTTACATTGCCGATGGCATCATATAAACCGGGACCAGGGGTAGTGAATTTGAATTTTTCGGCAGAAACACCATTGATGGTCACTCCACCCTCTAGTGCGGCACCCCCTGCAGACCCCACAGCCGCTCGCGGTCCCGGAACACATGCGCTTTTCATCGCAGGACCTGCCCTATTTGCCGTGTCTGCGGTCGAACTGTCAGAACCACCGCCGTTCTTGTTGACTGTACCATATGAATTGACACTGCAACTTTCTCGCTCAGGTTGTTTAGATGACGCGATTGATGCACTTGTAGGGGCGGAAGAGGGCATGGAATTAGATTGGCCGTTGTGTGGCAGTGTGTGGGGATTTGTTTGGGCGGGGCTGAATGCTTGAGGTGGTGTGGTAGTGGGGGTGACACCGGATGTGGCTGTCAGCGTGTTTGCGCCGGGTTGCACTACTTTGGCTTGTGCGTATACAATTCCATCGGTAGTTTTCCCAGTTGGTGTCGCGTTACTCACGGCCCTGGCTTTGTCGGTGTTGAGTGGTATGGGGTTCATTGCTCCACTCACAATTGCAGGATTATTCCCGCTGGTTACACGATTAGCATTGGAAGCCACCATGTTATTGGCACTACTACTAAGAATAGTATTAGCAGCATTACTGGTTGCAGGCTGTGTGGTGTATGCTGGATGGGTACTTTGAGTCTGACTGTGCGTATTTGATAATCCCGCACCGGTTTGCTTCTGCGTGCCCGAAACCTGTTCAGGGAATGAATGCAGGATAGTTAGATTTGGTGATTTCAGAATATTTTGAATAGTTCACGCTATTCAGAAGTGCAGAAACAACATCGTTCAAATTTCGCTGGCATTCTTGAGCAGTATCCATCAAAGGGACTCTCGGCGAAAAGAATTATGAAAGAAGCATAAATTTGCAACAACCTCGACAATCATTTAGCGATAGTTCCACAAACAGGTCCGATGATTTACCATCATAATCTTAAGGCTACTTCAGTAGAGGTAGATAATCACGAACTTACCTGGTACAAATTGCTGCCGACACCGGACACAGTCGAATCGATTGGCATATACACCCCAGCGAATGGACTGGCACCTCCTAGTACAGAACCTACGAGACCAGCGCTTAGGCTTTTATCACTAGGGCTAAAATTATGTCCGGAATTGGTAGATTCGCAATCGCCGGCTTGTTGCTCGTGATCGTCTTGGACTAATGCAAGTGCATTGATGTGTTGTTGCAGATACTGAGCCTCTAACAAGTCATACACATTGTCCTCCTCTATGACTTCGGTGCCAGCACTGGACATCATCGGCATAGTGGCCGTCCGATGCACCGTGCTCTCTGTGACTGTAAACGAGTTTGTTTCAAAATCGACGCGATCTGCAATAAGTTTTAATTGATAGTTATTGTGTCACGATCGTAAATACTTCAACTCGTTTTGGTGCAAGAACGAGAAGAGCACCGCATCAATTCACTACAGACTAAGGCAATGCTTCTCAATGAGAACGAAGGACTCCGAGACAATTTGAAAAATACTATCCAGCCATACATCCAAATGTATACAATACTCAAAAGCACACAGCAAAGGCCTTCAGTGTGTTGATGCACAGCACAGGCACTCGCCGGTGCGATGTCAACACGAAAATGTGCAATCACTTGGTCGCTTAACGCAGCAAACAGAGCGAGGCGCCTATCACCTGAAAATACACACACCATTACCCGCCAACTTTTTCGTATTGGCTTTTGAGACGACCGAAGAGGGGGCACAGCTGTCGACAGTACCCGCAGTTCTAGTGTGAGACTTGGTGGCTGCCCCACTAAAATCTGCATTGGCAATCTTCCGCAACGCATTTTTCCTTTGTATCCTTTCCAGGCCTATGGTTTGCACACGAGGAGACATTCACAAACCATCAGATAGTGTGAGGAGTTGATGGGATGATACTATTCACGTTTTATATGTAGTACGTGTTGGCAGCTGTGTAGGTGATTGCGACACCAGATGGTAGCCATCAGTACATTGTATCTCGTACCCAGTGATGGATTTATGCATAGAAAAAAAAGGTCAATTCAAGTTCAGATGCGAGGCCATTCTTACACAATTGTAGAGTGATGTGATGTACTCCGCACCTAGGAAGGGCAATGGGTGCCAAGCCAGGCAAGCAGCATATGGGTAAACGATTTCCAGATCAAAGGTACAAGCAGCCAACTAAATTGCTACGTGATTTGTGACGTGGTATAAAAGTATCCTAAGCTATTAGCTGTATGTGATGAAACGAGTTGCGGGATGCATTCTGTATGATCCATAAAAGTGATGGAAACTACGGATCCAAAAGATATACACGACGTACGCCTAAAAATGAATAGAGATACACTTCATTACCACACACGCGGTTCAAAATGAGTGGAAAAAGTAACAAATTTAAATCGACATTCGAGTATATAAATATATACACATTTTTCATCAAATCCCTTCAGCGCCTCATCGACACAGTGAACTACGACCCCTAGGCCTAAAATACTCGAATACAACTTTTCATGCTTTTGTATATGGCAAACGTCACCTTCTCGGACTTAGACAATAATTTCAACTGAATGGTGTAGTTATAAAAATGTTTGAATCAAACAACATTCATGCCAGTCGATATCTAACTAGGCTATAGATATCTTACGCACCAAACACATACCTCTCTCCATATTCGAATACACAAAACATATAGAACAAACACAAAAAAACTGTAATGCCAATTGAAGGGGAAAGTGACGCACCATCTTCTCTGAGCAAGCGGAAGTACGAGCGCATGTGCCAATCAGATGGAGGAGCGCTCATGCGCGTTTGATCCCTCAGCGGCTTTGTAAAATGCCTCAACCATTGCTGGCGATTGAACCGAAAAGGTGAAGATGCTTCGGCGAGGGATATACTATCGATGCTGAAGTCAGGGCGTTCTACCACCTGTTAGGGTGCGTGTGTAGAAGAACAATTACAATTAGCTCAGCACGGTGAAAATGCATGTAAGTATCGAGAAAAAAAAATCACCTGGCCATCGCGTCAGTGTGAAGGGACCCTACTAAATAATGGCAAAAACATACTCAATCCGGCTATGGTCATATACAGTTACAAGCTGGTGACAGACGACAAATTAATCAAATACTTTTAGTGGTCTATTGAGTGTTCTACTGACTCGGTCACCAAATGGTACTCAGGAAGTTGAGAAAGTTACGGAACTACCTCGAGTCAGCAGACGATTTAGGCTACATACAATCCGGCCCAACATATATACCACGCTCAAGGTGTTGCCTATACTTATTTGCTGTATATACGAGAATCGAACAATGCGAGTAAGATTTACCTGAGATATCCTTGCAACACTGCCACCAGTCTGTATATTTTGAGTCAGGGGTGTTTTCTTACTGATCACCGAAGCAGGCGCCCTGCATTCTTTGCGTGCTGTTTGTATTGTAAATCGTGCGGATGAGAGTCAAAGACGCGCAATGATGGAATCATGCCAGACAGAGGTACATGTGTGACTTGAGGATGCGGGGGATCGCAATCTGTGCCAAGAAAATGCGATGTGTTTAGATTCACATCGCGCATCAACTACAATTTTGATTATGGACCATTGAATGCCCATAAATCAGTCAAGCATCTAGCTGTAGATATGGAGACGTTCATGAGCCACGTGCCAATTTGCGACCGTATACACATGATATCAAACAGACCTACACACAAGTACCGTGCAGCAGCGTACGTTACATTGATACGCATGAATATAAAGCTTTTGGAATACGTACAGAGCTAGCGATACGAGGCCTTCATGACTGATGGATTATTTAATATCTTTGATTCTCTACCAAATTCGCTTTCAATTCAACCGAAAAATGAAACATTATACTTGCTATTAGATTCACATATGCGAGCCCATGGCGTCAAGACGAGAGTTGTATACAAATCATAGACTGCTTGCCTTTCAGATAACATAAATTGTAAGTCCGTGTCCACAAAATATGTGTTGTCGCATTAGATAGCTAAATAGCGTTTTCAAATTCTCAATTCAGACGAATGCATTCAGTTCAGACTGGAGCGTGTAGCGTCAAATCCGTAAATTTCATAATGTGTAACGGTAAACAATAGATACATGCATATGCTGCGCAGGCTTCGCACTAGTTTAACAGAAATTCTTGACACTGTAGCGGTAGATTCACTACGGTTTATACAGTGGCCAACATGAAAACGTAAAGATGAAGCCAATATTTCTTTGGGATATCATAGTCACAACTAAAATCATCGACGGCAAATCTGTAATCCCGAACGTATTCGACGTACTCAGTTTGTGATCGTATACGGCTACTATACTGTGTGTTCTTTCAGACAATGTTTGATTTTTTATGTAAATATCATTGTATTGTGGTCTGAGCCTACGTCACTCGCCACGTAGACAAATAACTAGTGAATGTGAAAGTAAATGTAGATAGGCATCAACAGGTTATATTTCGAACAACTACTATAAGGAAAAACTACATGTAAACGAACACAATAGAAAAAAAAATGCGACGTCGCAATATAACATAGTATAGACAACTCACCCTTCGCTCCGATGGAGGAGAATATAGTTTTCGATCTAATTTTGTTCGACTGCTTCCAGCGGAAATTGATAGTAATCTGTGGCCGTGTACGGACTTCTACCGGATCTTGTTTGACACCTATACCACCCGATTGCGATATACTTGGGCTGCTTTGTGACACACTTGAGCTAGGCTGCAATACACTTGGGCTAGGCTGCGATACACTCGAGTTGGGTAGTGATATACTTGTATTGATTGAGATTGGTCGAGATAAACTTGAGTTGGAACGTGGAACACTTGAGTTGGCCTGTGATACGTTTGTATTGGTTGATTTGGACTGTGAAATGCTTGAGCTGAGTGGTTCAGTGGTCTCGGGTGAAACGCAAACCGGCAGCCAACTATGTGTTGCCTTGTGCTTCACTAGACCAGCTTTTGGTGTGTCTGTTTTAAAAATATTTTCACTTGTGTTGATCTGCGCTGCAGAAGCAGTCTCGGATGGTTGAGTACTCTCCATACTATTCTTGTGAGCGATCATAACATACTGTACTTGCTGATTAGTATAGAATTGCAGTAGACATAAACTCGTTCAATCTCCTCATCGCACAAACAAATATCAATCGATCAATACACAGATCAAGTATGTGTAGACATAGTGCTGTATTTAACAAAAAAATATTTGTTCAGGTTGTTTGGGGAACATGCCTGCCCGCCAAAAAAAAGAGAGGAAGCATTGTTGTATTTTTTGAACAAAAATATTAAATAATCGCAAAATCGTTAAGCTAAAAAGCCCAGTGCGTGTGTACTCGGTCAAACATACTCGTCTACGTGTCACTCACACACACACACACGCGCACGCTCCCACATATGCATATGTATACATATTATATAAATGCGATGCACATATATATCTATATCTATATCTATATCTATATTTTTATTTATCTTTATCTTTATATGTATATGTATATGTATATGTATATGTATATGTATATGTATATGTATATGTATATGTATATGTATACGTATATGTATATGTATATGTATATGTATACGTATATGTCTATGTACATGTATATGTGCAAGTAAAAATATAAGTATAGGAATATGTACATGTATATATATATGATGCGGGTATATATATATATATATTTATATTTATATTTCATCATTATTTTTAGATTTATTTAAATTTTTCTATTTATATATATATATATGTATAAGGCTATGTATCTGTATATATATATATATATATATATATATATATATATATATATATATTTATATGCATACATACATGACCAAGGCTTGCACGAAATCTTGAATATTAACCAGGGGTTGTCGAAAGTAACATCAAAAACCTGAATATGTAGACCAAGGCTCAGTATATGGTGAGATATACCGTGTTGGCTAGCAAATGTATAAAAATTCGTAAGCTTGTGAATATGTTTTGATACATGTTACAAATCCCCAAAATATTGTGTATATATATCGTAGCTGTATATTCTCTTGGATATTCTCATATGAAATACTGAATACGAATTTAAAGAAGTACAATTGCCAAGGCAATGGGAAGAGAGCAAGAAATTAAAACAGGCACTTTGTAGGTAGGTATACATTTGGGTTTCCTCGAAGGAATAACCACACTAAGATGCGTATTTTTATATGTTTTTGTTGAATATCGTATTCGAGAATCCTACGATAGAGTGGCAAGAAGAGATCTACATATTAAAATCAAGTTATGCTAAGAGAACAATTATCTTTTATCTTCCCAATTGATTGTAGTTGGAAGGACTGATAATTTTTCTGTATATGTATATACGTGCACAAGGCGGTGCAACGATTGTCATAATATACCTCACCCACATCACAGCACTTATACCGCTGGGGGAAAAATAGGAAAATTGAGGGATACTTATTTACACATATTCGAATATTTACAAATGTACATACGTATGAACCAAAAAAAATTAAAAAAATAGTGAAGGTTCCCAATATGTGAAAAAAAAGCTGATCAAACCCGATTTCTCGTCACACGTGTTGTGAGAACAATAATATATTTTTTTTTAAATAAGTTATAAGAAAATAAATCTTGACCCTATAACCCTCTATTTTTGTTTTATTTTAGGAGGCTGTGCCTAAAAAGGCAAATACATAGGCTCCAAAAATAAGAAAGCAAGAAAACGGACGAGTCCGTACTCCGTACGACAATCCATTGAAGAGTATTTTGGCTATGAGTAACCTCTTTTTTATATATAAAAAATAATTCCATAAACATACGACAGTTGTATTTACGAAAATTTAAAAAAAAAATGCCTACTTTTACTAAAATATATGAACAAAAAATCTTCGTTTTCGTCGTGGAGACGAGGACTCTTATGAGTCTCCTCTCGGTGGTATATTTACTGACGAGAGGTAGTGCACAAAATACATTCGCAAGAAGTAGACAACTATCATGATAGATACTGCAGTTCTGCTAGCAGCAGTTGTGCTGCCGATTGTACTTGGTCATGAGAACGTTATCATAGATGACGACGATGAGCCCCTCACTGCGAGCACTCATGAGAATTTTGCAAGCGAAAAGGTTGAGCAATCATTTTTTGGTCAGATGCGAACTGAGATGGGAAAGGCTATAAGTGAACTGGACTTCTGGACTGTTTTCGGTTACACCTTTATGGGCTCGGTATTTTTCATGTGCTATGCATACTACACAGAATACGTTCAGACTGGTAAAAGTATTACTGATGATGTTAGAGAGCTTATGAAGGAGAACGCCGCGAAGGGAAAAACACCACTAGACCTGTTGACTGGTAGAACTAGTAACGCGAATACAACTTCAAGCGAATCAGGGTCTAGGAAGAAGAAAATATCAGCCAGGTCGAAAATTGCAAAAATGTCAGATGAAGAGAAGAAGAAGTTTCGTGGAGATTAAGACGGGGCAGAGTACACCTCCATGATTGATTATGGCGCCAACTTTCTGCGAGATACACTTGATTTTGGAGACACTGGTGCTATATGCTTATACCGAGGGTATGCTGATCATATTATTTGGCCAAGGACGAAAATCGTTGACCAATTAGTGCACGCTAAGAACAGTTCACAGGATGGCGCTGGGTGATTGATGTCCAGTGACACTAGCGTGCGTTTTGCAACTTCTATTGACACCCGTCAAAAGGCCGTCCACTATATGGATAATTATCTCCTGTACACTTGTGGGTATTTCAAGCCTTCCAGGGCTAACTCGATAGGACGTCGTAGTCGACGAAGAATTTGAAATTTCGACCACGTTTGCTGACTAACTGTGGGCTCGAGTTAGCAGAAAATTTCGGAGGTTCTTTTATCATCACAAGGAGCCGAGGAAACAAGTTTACCAGACGCGTAAATAAAGCGATCCAGGCATATGTAATACCGAGTTTGGTAGCGTGCGGATAATAAATATTAGCGCTGTTTGAAAGCTACTCAATTTAACTGTGGCACAGCTATATCAAGTTTCCAATCAGCAGGCTATACGTAGACCTTTATCTGCGCATCGTAGGGAAAAGCTATTAATATATGCGTTTGAACGTCCGATTGCAATACATAGTGGGCTAGCATGTTTCACGTTTTTAACCAAGAAAAAAAGGCTTGTTGGGAGTATTTTATGGCTGTTTGTGGACATAGGTTGTTATTATCTACGAATACTCGACTCAAGGATATGAAATACTCCATATGTATACACAAACCTGAGAAGCCTAAATACACTTTACATCTGCAATCTGCACTGATGTGCTAGCATTTAGACATGATTTCAGGGTGCTGCATTATGCAAGTAGCTTCAAAAAATAATAATAGAGATTGTATCTAGCTACACACCTAGACTATTTAGGGGTCTCTCTCGCGCACAGTCGCTCTCTCAAGTTTTGTTGGAGTCTAACAGTCTCACTAGTTAAAATGAAGCCAAGAGTTTTTCGCGGGAGTTGCACTGTGAACAGTCCTGACTCCTGAGTCGAGTGAGTCCCCGCGGTCACTCCAGACTCCAGAGTCTGACTGTCTCTCTAGTCTCTAGTCTCCACTAGAAAGTGTTACAGCCCACACATTTTGGATATTTTATAGCCCGCAATAGATACAAATTTGTATATACACTGTCGTAAAAATACGATATATTCGGATTTTAAAACTTTGGACCTAATCACTAATGCCGTGGATTGTAACCATGATGGACGGAAAGAATGAGGAGGCCGTTGCCCATCAGGCTCATCTAGACAAATTAACTCGTCTTCTAGACAAAGAGGAACTGGGAGAAGATGACGAGATCGAGAATGAAATGAGTGAAACAGAGGTAGAAACCAACTCACCAGAGGAAGCGGGGGAATGCCCTCCCGGTATGTGCATCGAATGTACCGACCAACCCGCATCCCGGTCTTGTGTGGAATGTCAAGATGATTTCTGCGAGGTGTGTGTGGACTCAATACACCGGTCAGGTACGCGTAAACGACACAAAATCAATGCCATAATGGGTGTTGAAGTTGGGCAACCGCAGCTCTGTGACAATGGAAATAAAGCCGATACTAATAATCCAGTAGAATTGGATTCGGTAGAGCTTGAACTTGAGAATGGTAATAAAGTTTTGGGAGGCATTGAAGAGGCCAAGGTACATCGTACCGAGGCACACCAAGGGCTGGGAGAATGGTTCGTAGAACGATCCAAATCGATTCCGTTGAGATTAACTTTCGAAGAACGAAAATATCTGAGGTTAGTTGAGGCGGCTCTGAATGTATCAGAATACACTGAAAAGGTATGCACACTCGAGGAGCACCAAATAATGTTGGTAGCATGTATAGCTATGATGTATTGAGATGTTCAATTTGTACTGCCCACACTGCATACCTAGGAAGATTTGACTGTCTAAGAGTCAAACGTATTTTGTTCTTGCTCACAACACTTCATAAGATCTGACTCGTAAGAGGCATTTGAAACAGCTACCTATTATTTTACCGGCACATTTGATAGCAGAATTTGATAGTGAACATGTGCAAACTATACTATACTATATATATATATTTATATATATATATATATATATATATATATATACATGTACATGCACATGTATATATACATATACATACACATACACACACACACACACATATATATATATATATATATACATATATATATATATATATATAATATATAGTATGTATTACACACACACGTATATATTATACACAAATATATATAC